TAAATAAATCTCATATTTTTGTGCGAATCTACTTTAGTTAAACGAAATATTAGTTCTAAGAAGTCATATAATGATCGCAATATTTAGTATATGTATCTTTACACATTATATCAATCTATCAGATTTTACTATATGGTCTAAATCTCAAACTCATATCTTGATTCGTAAAAGATTCACAAAATCATCAAATTAGTGATCAAATAATTCAACGCATTAAACTCATAGCAAAATCAACACATGTATGATAAAATAACAAGAATCTTGAATAAAAGAAATAAAGGGTCTCAAATAGATTACATTGTTCGCCTTAATATAAAATTTAGCTACTCATAATGATGGAAGAAGAAAAATAAGAAGTTGTTAATGAATACATCACCGGGTTTTGAATAACGATATAGAAAAAAGAATTTAATCTTGCACCAAAATCTTCTTCCTCTTCCAATCAATGCTTCAAAACTTGAATTTCTTGATTTTTTCTTCCTTGAATTACGCTCTTCAATCTCTAGTTGTATTCTTTTTTTTTCTCAATGTGTGGAACTCCATTAAAGTGCCTCATTTTTTCTATTTACACTCTCCCCATGTTTATGTTGAATATAGGGTTTTTATTAGCTTTAAAATGGGTCAAAAAGCTGTAACCCTAGAACAGGCGGCGTAGCGCTTGGAAGCAGCGCCTAAGCGCCTCGATGCAACTCTGGGCAGCGCCCAGGCGCTTCTTTGTTCATAAGCTTCTGTTGATTCTTCATAGCACCTGGGCGCTATCTTTCTGTAAAAACAATTCATTCCTGATGCTTGGGCACTCCGATCAATGGTGTCTAAGCGCCATTTTGCTGATTCTTTTCTTGATTTTTAGTTGTTTGTTCACTTTAGCTCCCTTTTTACTCCACCTCCCCGTGCGTTTAAATCGACACGAGCAAACACATAAAAAACGTTGTATACTCATAATATTTAGCCAACAATTAAGTTAAAATTGTATAAAACTCGTGAGTAAAGACACACTTGTCATGTATTACATAAGTTATACATTATATAGCAGATAGATTGCTAGAAAATAAAGAACTTACAGCTGCATAGCTAGCAATTGGATGATAAGGATTTAGGCTGGGCTTTAAGCAAAATGTGACCAGTCCTCTGGCAGTAGGTTTGAATAAGACCTCATCACAGTCGTGCCTGTCAAACTTAATGCTGGAATGGTGTACATATATATATGTGTGTGTGTGTTTGTGTGTGAGAGAGAGAGAGAGATGCATATGGAGGGAATTCTCGAAACACACTACTTTCATTTTTATGAATATATAAGCGGTACATGACATAGGTTTTACTACTCTTCTCCAGGTGATTTTGTGCATACCTGGTGATGTACCATGTACTCCTAGATATCTTTTGTGAAGCCATACAACTTATGAGTAGAAAATAAAATCTATTAGGTGAAGATGGGAGAGATGGAAACTGGCGTGGGAAAAGGTAATTGGTGTGGTGAGCTTATAACCAGGATTCTGTCCAGTTTCAGGAATGGCAGTTCCTCAGTTTTATTGGCCCTAGTTTTACGTGTAACTTGGACTGGCTGGTCTGGTCAAAGTTTAAAATACTACCATGGGCCACTGCCTTGAAAAACTTAAATCTTTTTCCTCTTTTGCTACTTGATATATTTAGGTATTTGTTATGGCAAAAGTATCTCAGACCAAATATATTCACAGCAAAATATCAGCCTTAGTTGAGAGATTGGTAACTCATATACCATTTTGTGAAGTTTTTACCTTGTTGGTAGTTATTAATTTTCATATCTATGTATGCTCTTTATAAATTCCTTCTTCCACAGTCCGAAGCTTAGAGATTGTGTTGGGTGGCTACCAACTTCTCTTACTTTTAGTGGAAATAAGGGACTGAATGTGGTTCTGTGACCTTGTGTTCTTGGACTCCTGATTTTGTTTATGATCTTGTATTGTATGTCCATAGGAAATCGTTTTAATCAGCTATTTTGTCAGTGTAAGAATACGCGGGCTTCAATGTTCCGTAACCTTTTTTGTTATCTTATCTCAAATAAGTATAATGAACAGAACTTGGTTAATCCTAATTTCTAAATAAAATAATTGATAATTATGTTTACATTATATGGTCTGTGTATGAAATAATTTGCTTATGTAACTTTTGGTGTAGAGGACTGGTTTTGTCGCCTTATTGAATGGGAGCAAAATTTTTTTTTAACCCTAAGCATTATGTTTTCTCTTCACCTTGCTTGCACTGAATGCAATTCTAACTGCCCTATTAATTTAAGAAACTTTTTGGACTCATGTTTGACAACGGAGCAACTTGTTAAGAAACATTCTGAGGCTACTATATTAGTCTGTTTCATGTCATTAAATATATGCAATGTGGTGTTTAGTGTTTCTTCTATTGTTTTATGTAAAAACCCAAAGGTTAACAATTTTATCCACAATCTTCTGATACCTATCATGCGGGCTTTTCAGTCTTTATACCGGAGCCGAGGTAGAAGGCCATTCAGAGGTCGTCGTGGTCAGGGAAATTTAAGCATGCGCGGAAAGGCTCGTAACTGGGGCATGGGTGGACCAACCATCCAATCACATGAATCATCATCTTCTCATCCAGAAACTTCTACAGCTGAAACGGCAGGTTCTACTGAAGAAAAGGCAAATCATACTGCTGATGATGATGATGATAATAATAATAATAATAATAATAAAGAAGCAGGTGGGTTGCCGGCGCGGACAACTGAAATAGCACAAGATAATGCAGCTCTTAATCAGCGGCCTAATCAATTTGCATGGTGTGAAATATGCAGGGTCCAATGCACTAGTTTGGACATCCTTGTGCAACACAATAATGGAAAGCGACATAAGAAGAATTTGCAAAGATTAGAAGAGTCGAAAGATGCTAACATATCTGTTGCTGAAATTCTGGATAGGCAGACACCTATTGGAGTTTTTAGTCCTGAAGTGACTTTGAAGTCTGATAATTTACTTGAAGGTGAGGAAAATGAGCAAATCCCGTCCAAAAATTTGCCAAAAGAAACAGTTTCCAGTGGGAGTATGGTGGAATCTGAACAGAAAAATGATCAATCCGATCATCCTGATATTCCGATAGAGCGACAACCTAATATGCCAGAAAATATTCCTGAGTTGAATTGGGCTTTCAATCAGAGACATGTCTGGAAACGTAATATGCAAGGTGGTCGTGGAGGGAAGCGTATGAAAACTTCTGATACACGGAGGCAACCTCCTAAACCCAAAGTAGTCGTAATTCCATTGATATGTGACTTGTGCAATGTAAAGTGTGATACCCGTGAGGTCTTTGATCGTCATCTTTCTGGTAAAAAACACATTTCTAAGCTCAAACGCTATGAAGGTCACCAAGCAATGTATGGACCACAAGGACTTCAAGCTCTTTACCCTCCAAATCCTGTCACACAAACGTTATATGCTCGACCAGGTCTTCAAGAAACCCTTACTGCTTCGCAGAATATTCCACCCGGACTTAACATGCCTTCACAAGCGCACTATGCAGCAACTACGGCAATGGATACTCCACTTCAGCAAAATCCCAACTTCTGATATCTAATGCTCCATCTGATCTCATTTGAGAATCTCCGGAGCAGTGATCCTGAATCAAACAATAACTGAACAAGTTGCAAGTGTAGAGATATCTGCCGGTATTGATTACTTGGAACCGAAGAGACGGAGTTACTTGAATCCTCCTGCGATCAATAAAATTGCAATGAATCAGAACTTAGACGTGTATGGTGCTCGTATATGCTCCAGTTATGAAGCCATCTTCCTTTTATTTTAATGCGCCACTTTTTTCGTTTTATCGTAAGGCGGGCTGGCTAGTTAGGACGAATGTAGTTTTATCTTATGACTGGTTATATTCTGCAGAAAAGTAACTGCATCTTGCTAGCATTTTAATCGTCCTTATTCCTACTGGTTCTTTTTGGATAGTTTTAAGAGAATTTTTTCTAGCTTATCTGTTTTAACTCTTTGATTATCGACCTAATATTCATGTTCATTTAGGAATTTGCTGTCATCTGAATGGATTCTTTCCTAACGTAAGAGTTCTTTATTATATGTAAAGCAAACTGGGTTGTTTTTCTTTTGTCATTTTAATTGTATCATTTATTAGTTTTGTAATGAAAAAACTTTTGAGTGCATTTGTTTGCATATATATTCTCGAAGGCACATTTACTAGTTTTATATGATTTAAAATTTTCACCTAAACGTTCAATTTCATAATTTTCTTTATTTTTTTATTCACGTATATCTTAAGTTCGATCATCTCTAGTTAATTGTTTATTTTAGATAATTTCAATTATTTGGTGTAAAATAATTGTCTAAAATTCGCTACAGATATATCATGGTTGACATCTTTGTTTCCACTCCATAATGTGTGATACACGGTTTTGACACTGACTTTGATTTTTACACATTCTGGAATGT